TAAGCTGTTCTCATAAAATAAAGGGGTTTCCAAGATCAAGTTCATAAACAGCAATAAGTAAAAAAACCTTAGTGTATCGTCATGACCAGCATTGCAGGAAGGGGCTATTTTTGGATTGTGATGATAATGCTAAAATCAATTTGTTAATGCTAAAATTAATTTTTTCATAGTACCATATATAATATTTTGTTTTGCATTACAGCTATACATCATAATGATGGAGTAGATATGTTCTGCACTGTAACTTATTTTATCAATTGTTTTATAATATCTTTATCTTCATATGTTAATCAGCTGTAAAATTATAATAGCTAAGGCAGGGGTTCTCAAAGTTTGCGAAACGCGGAGCATACATATTTCTATCTACAGCTGAATATTGTCAGTAACCTTGTAGTTATCTGAAAGTAATTAACCAATATAAAAGATTTCCAAATTGCATAACTCAGGGTGTGTCTAGACAGTTATTGCATTATTTTTAGTTGGACAGTGGTGAAACCCTTACAGTTACAAAAGTAGGGAATTTTGACAAAAGTTATTACCAACCAATTGACAAATCAAGTTTACGACTTTCATAAAAGCATAGATTTTAAGGCCAGAAAGTAGTTTTAGATCACCTAGTCTGATTTCTTGTATAACACAGAGGCCAAAGAATTTCATTGGAACTGGTCAGAGAAATTTTGATGGGGCAATATTCTGCTTGGCAATGCAGTTCTGTTGAAAGTGAAATACCGGTTGGAATAAGGAGGTTCAGACAATGTTAGAATATCACATTTCAACAGTTTTGGGACAACACATTATATATTATAGTATAATGCAATTAAAAATCAAACTTGAAACAAGATGATATATATTTTAGAAATTTCCTTCAGAAATTTAAAATATTAGGGTTTAATTCAGACTGACAATAAAGCCAAATGTCGAAATCTTGACTTCATTTGCATTACGGAATGTTTGTTCTCTGCAGAGCTCTAAATTAACTCAGTTGCCCCTGTACTGCGGCCAGTGGCTTATGTTCGATTGAATCATATCTTCCACAAAGGCATCCAAATGTGATCTGAAGGCATCAAGAGATTGAGAATCCTCCTGTTCATTTGGTAGTTTGCTTCAGTGGCTTAATCGTCCTCACCACTAAAACTCCGTGCTTTATTACTAACTTGAATTTGCCTGGCTTTAGTTCCCAGCCATTGGTTCTTATTACTCCCTCTCTGTTAGGCTAAGGACCCTTTCAATAACCTGGTATTTTCTCCCTGTATTTTGTATTTATGCATTATTAGCAAGTCAACTCTCACTCTCCTTTCCAATACATTAAAGAAAACACCTTAAATCTTTTACTGTAAGTTATTTTTTCAGACTGCAAACCATTTTTTGGTTCTTCTCTGCACCGTCTCCAATGTGTAAACTTCCCTCAAAGGACACCAGAACTAGACAGATTGCTCTCATTTGACTCTTGCCAATGCCACATACAAAGATAAAATTGCTGCTTTACTCCTGCTTTCTACTCTCTAGTTCATACATATAAGGATTGTATTAAGCCTTTCTGCCATAATGGTTCATTGAGAGCTAATGTATGTCCACTTACAGTAGTCACTGCTTTGCAGTATTCTTTCTACCCTGTAGTTCGATCATGTGTGTTTACTTAACCCGAAAAGAAAATAACTGCTTTACAATTAATTTAGCCTAATTCCTATAAAGTCAGTTAACAGAAACTGTTAAGAATCGATAGTAATGCAGGCAACAACTTGCAACATGCAGCAAAGAGCAGCTGTTTTTTTCTTATCCTGAGATGTTGGGTTAATAAAATTTGGCAAAACTTGTGACTGTGGTGAGCTCTGAAACTGCATAAATGAAGAACTAACCCACTTTCCCTCTCCCAAGTTCTACTTTATTTGGCAACAAATGCAGCCTTAGGGCCCCATCTGCCTAGCACTAATGGGAGCTGAAGGCTCACCAGGCCTTGTGAGGCCATATTTTTGTGCACATACTTATCAAGACTGGCCAGCCGCTAAACTGCACGGGCACTTGCTAGAAGCAAGGATGAGGGCCCATTTAAAAACTAGAGTCCTTCTTCTTTCTAGCACTGAATGGTCATGGTTTTATGCTGCAATTCTCAAATTTTAGCAACCCAAAGGCTCCCATTTTGATTTAAAATTTTTAATGAACTCCCAAACTCCCCTCACCCCTCAGCTTCAGACCCCACCCCCACTCCACCCCTTTCTCCAAGTCCCCACCTCCACCTCATCTCTTCCTGTTCCTGGTCTTCCCCTGCCCCCTCCTTTTCCCTGTCTCTTTCAACCCCCTCCACTGAGTATGCCACATCCCTGTTCCTCCTACTCCCTCCCAGGGCCTCCTGTACTTTGTGACATTCACGAGACCCTGGGAGAGAGGAGGAAGATTTGATTAGCAGGGCTGGCAGATTCCCTGCTGTAAGTTCTCTCCTTCCTAGAGGTTCATGGTTTAATGTATGTAATCATACCTTAAACCTGCCATGGAGTGAAGACTGAATACTTCCCATCCTCTGCTGCGTACTAACATGCTGTAATGAGAGCTTTGAAATCTGGGAGAGATGAAGGAAACATTTCTTGAGTAAGCAGATTTTCTAAAATGACAGCTGTATGAAGTTAAAATTAACTTTGACACAGATGGATTAGTGGGTGAGTGCAGAGGAGGTGCATAAAATTTATCATATGGTTCTGCTCTTTACCACCATATCATGGCATTTACGGTATCTAATCTAATCCCATTTGATCTGTCCGTGTATTTAGAACACGCCCTTCATGGTGGCATGTGAACTCCCAACACATGGTACCATTCTGCAGGCAGAACTCCTGATGACATCTCCAAGGCCCTAGCATGCCTATTCAAAACAGCACATGGACACTTCCTTAACTTCAAGCCCATGCTAAATGCCCCTGAGGACAATGTTCAAATTAATCATGGGCTTAAATTCAGTCATAAATATGGATGGATGGAAGCATGTGCTTAAATTTTACCTGAATCACTGTCTGAGAGTCGTCTTCAAAGGCACACTAATAGCATATGATTTAATTATTATTAATAATATTTATCATGCTGTAACTCTGAGGAAGAGCATAAACTGATTCCAGGGCCCCACTGTTCTAAGGAATGTACAGACAGGTTATAGTAACAGCCAGTCCCTTTCCTCACCAGTTTACAATCTAAATAGACAATGGATATGGGGGGAAAGACATGACATAAAAGCAGAAACCTTTTGATATACTACTACATATATATATATATATATATATGGAATTTCCACTCCAGTACATATGATGAAGCAGGTTTTAAGCATAAAAGTTTATGCCCAAATAAATCTGTTAGTCCTTAAAGTGCCCCAGGACTCATTGTTTTTGTGGATATAGACTAACCTGGTCACCCTTCTGATATAAATGCAGAGTGAACAGTGGGACGGTGACATGTATCCTGTTAATTCTGTGATTCAGGGGGCTTTCAGTGGCAGGGAATTAGAGAAACAGAAAGATTTGTGAAAGGTGGGCAGGGGACAAGAGGTATAGATGGAAGGAGAACAGATGGGTGAAAACTGGAAGGACAAATTGACCTGACCATACTGTGAGGGAGGGAACTAGAGTGAACAAATAATCAACAAAGCAGAAAGACTGTCCAGAGCAAAAACTGAAGACTGTCCCCCATTATTTCTGAAGTTCTGCCCTGCTCCCCGGTCAGCACATGCACATGCCTAGGGACTTGAGACACTGCACAAACACTTACAAACACATTGCATTTAAGAACATTAGATGGTTTTTAAATGTAAGAGCAGCACATAAACTATTTCAACAGCCAGGCACTGCTTATAAGGCTTTAAAGATGTTTTTACCATACTCTGAAGTAATTTTCCATTTGTGCGCCTCCTAAACTTGCCCTGTGGAAAATGGAAATCTACATTCCTTTTTTGGCACTACATTTACAGCAGTTGAGTTCCTGCCATTCTGTGTTTTAGAAGAATCCATTTTCACTGAAGTTTTTATTCAAGTATGTCAATTTCCTGATTCTGTTACCAAAATAATAACAATAATAATAATAATAATAATAATTTCAGTGATTCCTGCATAAGGTAACTCCTGATTCAGCAATTCTGACACATTTCTGTTTTATCCTGACATAATTTTACTGGCATCAGAAAATTTACTCCTATCTTACACCAGAATAAGTGAAAAGAAAAATCAAGTTTAAGGAAAAAAGGGCTTTAGGAACACATATCTGATCTTAGATTCACATGCACATTTACCATTTGCCCTGATTCAAATTGCTTTATTTATACTGCTATAAATGTAGAGTATGTTGAACTCAATGTAGCTACATAGGGTGCTAACCTGTCACTTTAAGCAGAATTACTACTAATGCATGTCTTATATTAGTATACTTAAAGGCAGAATAGAGTTTGGTGTATTCTAAGTTCATTTGTAGGTCATTTTATGCACAATAGATATTTTCTGCATGAAAGGTGAAGGATTCAGTGAAGATGTATCTAATCAGGTCATAAGCCCACAGCTTATCAGAATCACAAAGATGGAGTATTATGCACAATTTGCTATATGCATTATTGTGCACTTAAAGAAACCCTGCCTTTTCAGTACCTGGCAGGATTCCAAAGCAGATTCCTAAGTGGACCATTCCAGTGTGGCAAATCCTCTGGGTCAAATTATGGAGTTTTTACTCAGTCAAATTTCTCATTGCAGACTAAACAGTTACCCCAGTAGGAGTTTTTACTGAATAATGATGAAAGTATTGGGCTGGATGAAATGAAAATAAAAATGAAAAAAGTACTCATTGTTTCAGATAACTTCATGCAACAAATAGATAAGGTGTCAAGGAATCAAGAAATAATGTTTTTTCTGCCAAGACCTCATTGACAGAGGGGTTAAGTTTTAGCACATTACAACTTATCTTCCTATTTGTTTCTCTGTATGTACTTTGGACTTTGAGCACTTGATAATGATTTTTTCTCTCTCCCGTTCTATTAGCAGTTTCTCTTGGCAAGATCGGTTGATGCATTGGGACCACACAGATATACAAGGACTTCAAGCATAGAAAAAAAGCGGACAAAGCGCACTCTGAAAAAAGAAGCAGAATGGGCTGTGGCAAAAACAGTGGGCTGCTCACTGGGGCGATCCTTGGTGCAGTGCTGGCTATATTTGGAGGTGCCCTCATACCACTTGGAGATCACATTATTAACAAGACAATAAGAAAGGTACCAGTTCTGGTCTCCTTTAATCTCATATGATTTTGGGTTATTTCAAATCTCATAATTTTCGTTGGGAAAATTTACACAATACTGTAATTAGACATGAGGGCTTTTCTTTACTGTGAAGGTGAACTCTCTCTGATCCATGCTTTTAAGATGAGGTTTACCGGGGAGGTCGATAAAAGGCTTTCATGTTGGCAGGTGAGCGTCCAGACTAGCGCGCTGAGCTGACAAACAGCTGATCAGCTCTTTGTCGGCTCAGCGCGGCAGCCATGTAAATTTAAATGAAGCCACGATTATTTAAATTGCGGCTTTATTTCCCTTTGCCGAACAAACAAATCTACATGGCTCCATCGACGGAGCCATGTAGTTTAGCCATACCCTAAATGTCCTCTAACAGTCCAGTAAGCAGTGGAAGTATTGGTAATGCTGCTAGACAATACTGACCTTCTGTGGTCCAGAAAATTCTCTGGTTTGGAAATGGTCAGGTCCTGAGGGTGCCAGACTAGAGAGGTTCAACCTGTATTTCAACAGAAGTTGGTTTGTTTTTCTCTATTTCAAATTTAGCATAAGGGGAAAATGGTAAGAAGTAGAATCAGAAATGTAGGGGTGGAATGGACCTCAAGAGGTCATCTAGTCCAGTCCCTTGCTCTGAGTCAGAATCAAGTCTGCCTAAACCAACCCTGACAGGTGTTTGTCCTACCAGTTCTTTAAAACATTCAGTGATAGCAACTCCACATCTTCCCTTGGAAACCTGATCCAGATCTTAACTATCTGTATAGTGAGAATCTTTCCCAGATAGCTAACTGAATCTCCATGGCTGGAGATTAGGCCAATTTACATCATGTTCACTGAAGGAAAGACCAGGAGAACAATGAACCACTGTCTTCTTTATAACAGCTCTTACCATCCGATTTTCCCCTCAGTCTGCCTTTCTTAAACTAACCATGTCCAGGGTGGGTTTTTTTTTTTTACTTTTCCACATAGATCAGGTTTTTAACAAACTTTTTTAATGAGTATTTTTCTTCTCTGGACTTTTTTTAGTTTGCCCACATCTTTCTTCAAGGGTATGTCTAGACTACAGGCTTTTGTCGACAGAAGTTTTGTCGACAGATACTGTCGACAAAGCTTCTGTTGACTAAGAGCATCTAGACTATATCCAGTTCTGTCAACAAAGCAAGCCGCTTTGTCGGCATGACAGTGTAGACGCAAAGGACAGTATAGATGCAATAACACCTTCTGTCGACAGAACTCTGTCGACAAAAGGCATTATTCCTCATAGTATGAGCTTTACAGCCGTCGACAAAACTGCTGAGTTCGGTCACCATTTTTAAAACTGCTAATTTGAACTAAGGGGTTTATCTCGGAATCGCGCTTCTCTGCTGCGTGTTACTTCGGGCTAGTCAATTTCCAAAATGGTGACTGGCCGGGAACATGCTAATCAAGTGTGGGATATTTAAATCCCATGCTTCATTAGCAATTTCGAACTGGGGGCTAGTGTAGATGTGCCCTGTGTGCGTCATATGTGAATCCTCATAGGATGTGAGTGATGTACTCAGTTGGTCTAAAACTGTGCAACTCCTCTGACTGTAATAGAAAGACACCGACAGGCTTCAATCATACTGTAGTCAATGGGCCTTTATCCCTGTGCTAAACTTTAGCATGTGCATAAGTCTCTGCAGGATTGAATATCTGGTTCATGAAGATTTGGAAGCTATCATTTTTTTCCTGTTATATTATTTCCTTTGTTTGTTAATGTTCAATTGCTTACTAATCTTTGAATTTTTTTTCACATATGGCTCAATTTTGCAACAGTGCAGTCACACTCATTAGCTAGTGTGAGTGTTCCCAGTGACATGGTGTCCCTAGCCTCCTTTTGTCTGGAAATGTCTGACGAGGAGGGATCACATGAGGATAACTTGTTGTGTTCCCTCCCTCTGGAGCATCTGGTATTGGTCAATGTTGGCAGACAGGATTCTGGGCTAGATGGACCCAGTATGGCTGCTCTAATATGTCTATGTTTTTATGTACTATAATGCCTTCTGGTTGAACCTTTCTGCCTGAAAAAAAAAACCTTCAACAGCCACAAGAGTCTGACCGTGCCCACCTCTTTGCATTGAGGCCCTTATGTATCACTAGGACAGTGTGCAGAACAATGAAATGAAGCCTAATAGAACTAGGTGAAAAATATATTCCATTTTGTGGAGGATTTTACTATTTGAAAAGCTGGTTTAATTTCAATTTGGAACAAAAAATTAAAATTTCAAATTTCTCCATGAAAGGGGATGAAGTCCTAGCATCCCTGGCTTTGGGGTGATCTGCATGGGCCACAGGCCCTGGAAGATCAGATTCTCCAGAAGCCCAATAAGGAGGCTGCCAATGAGCCAGGTGAGTGGGCTGGCAGGTATCCAGACAGGTTTCCACTAGAACCTTTGCGACTTCCAGAGGAACTTCATCAAAATCATGTTGTCTCTACAACATGTTTGATTTACACAAATTGGCAAATTCAAACAAAAAAACTGCTTCAGTGGAATTTTTGCAATTCTAATACCTAGTTTAGTTCAGATTAAGTGAAAAGTCAGAAAATAGCTAAAAGCACTGGTGCATCTCAGTAGGCAATTAACCATATTCATCTAGCAATATTAGGGCTACATCTACACTAGATTTTTTTTTTTTTTGCCGAAGAGGCAATGCAAATGAAGCACTCATTAGCATTTTCCCACACTCATTTGCATAATCTCTATTTTACAGGCATAGCCATCTTGCGCAAAAAGGGGCTTTTGCACAAAACAGACACGTCCACACTTCTTGTTTTTGTGCAAAAACCTCTTGAGCAAAATGGATTGGAAGAGATTATGCAAATGAAGTTCAAGAAAATTCTAGTGAACACTTCATTTGCATTGTCTCTTCCTCAAGAAGTTCGTAGTGTAGACATAACCTAGGAGATAAGAACCATTCAACAAATATTTTTGCAAACATTTTATAATTGATTAAAACTTGAAGAAACATGTCATTATAAAATATATATCACTGATATAATCTTGAGCTATACTCAGGTTTTTGGAGGTTATGCATTTACTTTGGATTAGACCAGAACATTCTTTCAGTCTTCATTTTTTTCAACATTTAGAGCATTTATGTTGCTTACATTATTGTACATTCATTTACTTGATCTAGGTATATTTTTTAGATTACTTTTATGACAAACATATCTTTACAAATGTCTACCTGATTTTTGTGGAAATGATGCATATTTATAAATACGTGTGAATTTCAGATGAGCTAATCTTTAGCTTCTTTCTCTTTTATTTCATTATGTCTATGATAATTTGTGTCAGATTCTTGAATTTTTCACCATTCACCTTCTCTGTTTCAGAGAGAGCACCACACTGAATTACAGGAGTTCGCTTAAAATTACTCTGTTAAATCATAAAATCATAGAACTGGATGGGATCTCAAGAGGTCACTGAGTCCAGTCCCATGCCCTCACAGCAGGACCAAGTAATGTCTAGATCATTCTTTATAGATGTCTGTCCAGGCAGCTCTTAAATATCTCTGGTGATGGAGCCACAATCTCCCTAGGCAATTTATTCCAGTGTTTAATCACCCTGACCCTTTCAGTGTATCTACAACGCACCATTTTTCTGGAACAATGGCTGTTATTTTGAAAGAAAATCAAAATAATGGAGGGCTTTTTCCGATATTGGTAAACCTCATTCCACTAGGAATAATGCCTCTTCCGAAAAAACTCTTTTGAAAGAGGGTATGTGTGGATGCTCCACTGCTGCTATGTCAAAATAGCCCCTCATCAGGGCCATTCTAAAGTTATTCCTCCCCAGTGCCTCCTTGGGCTCTAAATTGAGTTAGGGCATTCACATTAGGGGAGCCTGCCTCAGTCTAATTTTGAGGCTTCCCTGTAGTGTGGACATGCTATTTCAAAGTAAGCTTGCAGTGTAGATGTAACCCTTAGGAAGTTTTTCCTAATGTCCAACCTAAACCTCCTGGCTGTGTCTACACTGGCATCCCTTCCGGAAAAGGGATGCTAATGTAGCACATTGGAATAGGCAAATCCGTGGGGGATTTAAATATCCCCCGCGGCATTTGCATTAACATGGCTGCCGCTTTTTTCCGGCTTGGGGAAAAGCCGGAGAAAAGCTCCAGTCTAGGCATTATTCTCCGGAAAATAACGCTTTTTCCAGAGGATTTGTTATTCCTACTTGAAAGTCTAGACTGGCGCTTTTCTCCAGCTTTTCCCCAAGCCAGAAAAAAGCGGCAGCCATGTTAATGCAAATGCCGCAGGGGATATTTAAATCCCCCGCGGATTTGCCTATTCCAAAGTCTACATTAGCATCCCTTTTCCAGAAAGGGGTGCCAATGTAGACATAGCCCCCTTGTTTCATTTTAAGTCCATTGCTTGTTGTCCTATCATCAGAGTCCAAGGAGAACAATTTTTCTCTCTCCTCCTTGTAACACCCTTTTAGATATTTGAAAACTGCTATAATTTCCCCCTCAGTCTTCTCTTTTCTAAATGAAATAAGACCAATTCTTTCAGCCTTCCTTCATAGGTCATGTTTTCTAGACCTTTAATCATTTTTGTTGCTCTTCTCTGGACATTCTCCAGTTTTTCCACATCTTTCTTGAAATGTGGTGCTCAGGACTGGACACAATATTCCAACTGGGGCCTAATCAGTGCAGAGTAGAGTAGGCACTATAGGATTCCATTTGCATTACAACTCTGCATCTAACATGCAGAGTGGAAAATGGAAAAAAACCTAGATTCCTTCTACCTTGCTTATCATCATCACCACCAGTCAAGTCTGTTTTGATTATTTTTTTTCAGGAAAGTTTCTCAGGTTCAGGGCAGAATATTCGAAAAATGGAAGGAAGCCAGAATAACCAACAATGTGGTAATTTAGGGCATTCATTTCAGATGTGAGAGATCTAGGTCAATTACCTGATTCAGAGGAGGAATGTGACCCTCTATCAGGTTTATGCACTGCATTATT